AATCCAAATGAAAAAGAAAAGTGATAAAATAAAAACAATAGTGGAAGCAGCAGGAAAATTTCTGGATATGAAAGAAATCCAAGCAGATCAGATCCACACACTACTAAAATCAGTTGAACCAACAGGAAAAGGTCAAGGAAAGGATTAGGAATGTTTTTTCATATTCTACAATGGAATGCTAGGAGTTTGATAGCTAATGGACAAGAACTTAAAAAATACATATACCAGTTAGAAATTATATCAGATATAATATGTGTTCAGGAAACATGGTTAAAACCCCATTTAGACTTTAAAATTCATGGATATAGTACAATAAGGAAAGACAGAAGTACTGGAAGTAGTGGAGGAGGGTGTGCGCAACATTTATTAAGGATGGTATAGCATATAAGGAAATTTACAACTCAACAGAATATGAAAGTGTTAGCATTGAAATTTACAACTTAAAAATAATTGGACATATTAAGATAATTAATTTTTATAACCCATGTAAAAACCTAGATAATGATGTATTCAAGGAAATATGTGAAGGTATAAACGGGAGAGAAATATGGTGTGGAGACTTTAATGCACACAATAGCCTATGGGGTAGCAGCAAAACAGACAGTAAAGGCAACATTATTGAAGAAATGATGGATGAAAGATCACTGGTTTGTCTTAATGATGGTCATGGCACACGATTTAATATAAAGAAAGGTTCAGTCTCATGTTTAGATTTAACTTTAGTATCAGATAAACTTGCAAAATCATGTGAATGGAGTATAAATGGAGATACTACACTGGGGAGTGACCACTTTCCTGTTAGTACAATTTATAAATGACAATATAACCAATAAAGAGGAAATAATATCAGCCAGATGGAGCTTTAAGAAAGCTAACTGGGAAACTTTTAAAATTAATTGTGAGAAAAATAGTTATTTAGTAAATCTTAAAGGAAACATTGATGAATGCAATAACCAGGTAACAGAACTGATTTTAAATGCAGCAAACTCAAGCATTCCAAAAGTAGTAATAAAAAGAAAATCAAGAGTGCTTCCATGGTGGAATGATGAATGTAGTAAAGAAATTAAAGAAAGAAACAAGGCTCTAAAAACATTACAGAAAAATATGAATGAAGAAAACCTTATAGATTTTAACAAGAAAAGGGCAGTAGCTCGTAGGACTATTAAGGAAGCAAAAAAGAAAACTTGGAGGGATTATTGTTCGTCCATAGGATATAAAATTAATATAAAACAGGTGTGGACAATTATTAAGAAAATGAGTGGGAAAAGAAGTGAAGTTAAAATTCCAGCTCTGATTAAAAATAACGAGATAATGGTTTCTAATAAAGACAAGGCTGATTCTCTGGGTGAGGCGTTTGCTGCAGTCCACAGTGGAGAACATCTAGAAAATGATCACAGGAAGCAGAAAGAACAAAAACTCAAAACATTCAGTAACGTAGGACAGAAGAAAAACAGATCCATGTCAACATTTGATGAACATATAACTATGAAAGAAATCAAAATGGCATTAAAAGATACAGGTTATTCAGCTCCAGGAGAGGACAGCCTGTGTTATGTCATGTTTAGACATCTACCGGAAACAACGTTAAATATCATTCTAAAACTATTCAATAAAATATGGAAAGAAGGAACATTACCAAAGAGCTGGAAAAGAGTCATAATTCTACCATTTAATAAACCAGGGAAAGATCCAACAAGTTCAGACATTTACAGACCCATAGCTTTAACTTCTCATTTATGTAAACTGATGGAGAAAATATTAATAAACAGATTAACGTATGTCCTAGAAAAAAGAGAACTTATTAGTAATTATCAATGTGGTTTTAGAACTGGTCTGTCTACAGTAGATGCTCTAGTAAGAGTATGTAATGATATTGAAAAAACACAAAAAATGAAAGAAATGATGATTATAGTATTCTTTGACATAGAAAAAGCGTATGATTCTATGTGGAGGGAAGGGCTGCTAATAAAACTAGAACAGATGGGGAGGGAGGATGTATAACTGGATTGCCAGCTTCTTTCAGGATAGGACAATTAAAGTCAAAGTTGGGGGTGAATTATCAAGACACTTCAAAGTGGAAAACGGCACCCCTCAAGGCAGTGTAATTAGTCCTGTTTTATTCAACATTATGATTAACGACATATTTGCAAAGCTTGACAGAGGCATCAAATCTGCTTTATATGCAGATGATGGAACAATATGAATGGGGTTTCAAAATGTCTGTAAGCAAAATGTGCTACATGATGATTACAAACAAAAAGAAGATAAATATTGGAAATCTCTTATTATATGGACAACCTTTAAAAATGGTTAGTGGATTTAAATATCTAGGTATATGGTTAGATAGTTCATACACATGGCAAACACATTTAAAACGAGTGGAAACAAAGTGTAAGAAAGTCATTAATCTAATGAAAGCAGTGGCAGGAAATAACTGGGGAGCAGATAAACAATCACTTTTAAATATCTACAGAGCACTCATGAGATCGACTTTGGACTATGGATGCATAGTGTATGGAGCAGCAACAAATGCATCACTACAAAAATTAGATAGACTGCAATCCAGAGCATTACGGGTGTGCACAGGAGCAATAAAGACAACCCCCATTAATGCACTTCTTATAGAAACTGGTGAGACACCGTTAGAAATGAGAAGAACAGATAGTGTGATTGTGTCTGTGTATGAATGGGTATTTGTTAGGCCGAGACTCGGACTGCCCCCTCTGTGATACAACTGGGGGTGCTTGGCATCGCGCCCCTATCACGCGGCCCCCTGGTGGGGTGTGCCCTTGCCTGCCGGCGCGCTTGGGGCCCTTGCTATCGGGGGCTGGGCGCTTGGGCGTGTGTCGGCTCGGCCTGGTGTCTGCCTGGTGGGGCTCGGGTCCTCTGGCCCTGTCAGGCCTTGGCCTGGGTGGTGTGAGTCCTCGGTGCCCGGGCCTCGGTGCCTGGACCTGGACCTACATCGGTGCGGCGGGTGCCGATGGAGGCCTATGAGTTTGTCGCTGTTGGCCCCGGGGGGTCACTGTATGTGGTTGCTGGTGGGGATCTTCCGGTTCTCCCCTGTGGTCCGTTCTGGGGGGTGGGTGAGTGGTTCGTCCTGTGTGGGTGGCTCTGGGGGCTCCGCGGTCGGGGTCCCTCCTGGGGTCTTGGGCTCTGGTCCCCCCTTTTTCGTCTGCCTCTGGTCTTGGGGGTCGGGTCTCTGCTTCTTCACAGTTACTAATAAATGTTCTATTAGAGAAGCCTTATACACTTATGCATGCTCACAACCACACACAAATAGAAGCAGGGATGCTTATGTAGGCTTTAAATGTAGATATATAGATATGTATGTGAGTGTATATTCATGTGTATGTATGTATGTATGTATGTATATAGGCGTAGGTATGGGTATATATATTTATGGAAACTTACTGCAAAGCCATGAATATTTTAAGTTCTTTATACATATGTATTTTGTTGCTGTGTTTTGTCATGTTCTTTGCAGGTGAACAGACAGTGGCCGGGTGTTTTGACGTGTGCTCTCTTTGTGTATATTTCTTATATTTTGGAGTCTTACTTTGTCTTTTCTTTCTTTCTATCCTATTAAAAAAAAAAAAAACCTACACTAGATAGTCACTATAATAAATATTTCATAATAATGGTGTGGAGAGGATGGCTGTAAGGGGCGAAGGGAGGCCATCACAAAAAAAAAAAAAAAAAAAAAAAGAAATGAGAAGAACAAAACTTTCATTAACTTACTGGGTGAAACTCAAAGGAAGTAAAGAAGGAAATCCTGCAGCAACAACAATCCAGAACTGCTGGGAATATAACAAATATCAAATAAATGGTTTTGGTTGGAAAATAAACAAATTAGCTGGATTATATGGAATAGAAAATAAAGATTTTGCACAGATTAGTCCAAACAGTGTTATTTCTCCATGGCTAATTCCAGAAAGTAAAGTAGACATGAAAATTCTTGAAATGAAAAGAGAATGGAACAAAAATGAAATAGGGGTGAAAACCAGCAAATACATTAGAGAGACATATTTTAATTACCTGGAAATATATACAGATGGCTCAAAAAACACAAAGGGGTGGGTAGGAATAGGGGTTTTTATTCCAGAGTTTGAAGTTTGTACATCTAAAAGAATTTCTGATCATCTTTCAGTTTTTACAGCAGAAATGGTGGCAGTCATATTTAGTCTACAGTGGATAGAGGAAGTTAGACCGGACAGGGTGGTGATATGCACCGACTCAAAGGCTGTCATAGAAATCATTCAGTCTAAAGGAAACAACAGGAAATATCTACTGCTAGAAATACAACTTATATTATTCAGGTTACACAGGGGAGGCATAGACGTTCATTTTTGTTGGGTGCCAGCACATGAGGGGGTGGAAGGAAATGAAAGAGCAGATAAACTCGCTAAAAAGCATTAAAAGGTGAAATAACAGTAAATATTCCATTAGGGAAAGGAGAGGGTAAATCATTAATTAAAGAAAAAGAAATAGAGAAATGGCAGAAAAAGTGGAATGAGGAGAAGAAAGGAAGAAGATTATATAAAATTCAAAAAGCAGTTAAGATAAGTAATTATAAAGAAAGAAGTAGAAGAGAAGAGGTGATAATAATGAGAATGAGGGTAGGACATATACTTCTAAATGATACAATGTACATGATGGGGAAAAGGAATAACAGTAGATGTGAGGAATGTGGGGAAACAGAAAGTGTGGAACATGTTCTGATGGAGTGCATTAAATATACAGAAGAAAGGGAGATACTGAAAGAAAAAGAGGCAGGGAGAGTGTGGAGTTTAGGAGGAATATTAGGAACAGAAGGGGAGAAGGATAAAATAAGTAATGTTAGAAAAGAGTTGTTTATATATTTGCACAACATAAATATTAAAAATAGAATTTAGGGAAAGAAGGCCATGAGTTACACACTCTTGCTCAGTAGGTGGCGGTATGCACCTGAACGTTGTTTGCAATCCGCCAATAAAGTAAAAGAAGAAGAAGAAGAAACAGCCATATGAAACAGCGAGGCGCCGGGGAAAGACCCGGATTGACCCCGCAGCTGAACGGTGAAAGTACTCGCTGTACTTCACTGGGTTTTCTGCTGCGTCTCAGGCGGTACACGGATGATAGAAATGTCCAACTGGAAGCCTTTTGTTTTTGGCGGGCTGGCTTCTGTGACTGCGGAATGCGGTGAGACGTGTGTCCGTGTAGGACACGAGGGAGGGACGGGTTCTAACCGCTGCTCGTTTTGTATCGTAAAAATCAGATAAAATAAACGAGTCGTGTTTGTTGCAGGGACCTTTCCAATCGACCTGGCCAAGACGCGGCTCCAGGTCCAAGGCCAGGTGGGCGACAGTAAGTACCGGGAGATCCGCTACAGAGGAATGCTCCACGCCATGCTGAGGATCGGGAGGGAAGAGGGGCTCCGGGCGCTTTATTCCGGGTCAGTGTGCTCACTACACGCTGCACTTGTCTTCAAACTCTGCTTCATTTTATAACGAACGAACGTTCTTTGCAGATAATCTCCATTTCCTGTTAAATGGTGAGTGCGTGTTTGTTTGCAGAATCGCCCCCGCCATGCTCCGGCAGGCCTCGTACGGGACCATAAAGATTGGGACATACCAGAGCTTTAAGAGGCTTCTTGTTGACAGACCAGAAGGTGTGTGTCTCTGGTAAACTCATGCATTCATTCACACACTGCTCCAGACTTCAGCTTTCTTCTGAAACAGATGTGGACAATATATGGCCCAACGGCCAAAAGTGGCCCTTGGACAATTTCCACCTGTGATTATAAAATTGAAAAGTTACCTATGAAACAATCGGAATATTCTGTATAAAATAAGTCACTTTACTATAAAAGCTGGATGGATAATGGAATTATCAGAGTCAGAGTTTCTTTATTGTCATTCGCACCTCATGTGGTACATGTGGTGGAGCGAAATTATGCTTGTCCAACTGCTGTTAAATGAAAACGGAACCCTTTTGTCATACACTGAATTTCTGACCAGATTTAACATGCGTACAACACCTAAAGCGAATGCTGTAGTTTTTGACGCTCTACCAAACTCCATGATGCAACTTTTCAAAGGTACAAAATCTGATCATTTGTCTAGAGGCCAACTTAGAAGCCCCATAATGCTAGGTGGAATGGAGATCACTAAAAAAACATGTTCCAACAAACTTACAAGAGCATGTCTGCAGAAGATTACTTTACCTCCTGCTAGATTTATTTATTTTTTTTGGTCCTCTACATTTGGAGAAATTGAACTGGAAACAAGTTTGGTTAATGGGGAAAAATGTTGCATAACAAAAAAGTTAAAGAAGTTTCATATAAAATCAATCATAATGTATACCCTGTTTAAAAAAACACTGGAAAGATTTAAACTTAATATTGACCATTCTTGTACATTTTGCAAACTACACATGGACTTAATCTCTCATTTATTCTATCAGTGTAATCATACAAAGGCATTCTGGACAGATGTACAACTCATACGACAGAAAACTGGACCAATAATTCAACTTATAGAGAAAGACATTATTTTATGCTTTGACGATAAGGATATGGATTAAATCCAAAAAAGTTCAATCTGGTCCTCTGGACATTCAAAAAAACAAAACAAAGCAAAAAAATGTAGAAACGTTTCGTCTCTCATCCAAGAGACTTCCTCAGTCTGAGGTGCTGTATTCAGCTCAGTCTCTTAAATAGCACCTTCTCAGAGTGGATCAACCAGTTTGCTGCTGACAACCAAAACCAGCTGATCACATGCTCAAGAAGGACCATCAGCCTAACAATGGATCATTAGCACACTGATGGCTGTTTACTATTCACAGAGGGCTGAGTGATACTAGCAATCACAGCATTGTAAGAGGGGGACAGTTGAACCCGGAGGCCTCCACCCCTGTTTAATGATGGACGATTTCTTTTCACAAAGATGGCCTCCTTTACTCCTCTCTCAAACCATCGTTCCTCTCCATCCAGGATGTGCACATCTTCATCCTTGAAAGAGTGACCGCTGGCCTGGAGATGAGTGTAGACCGCAGAATCCTGGCCTGATGATGTTGATCTTCTGTGCTGGGCCATCCTTTTGGCCAGTGGCTGTTTAGTTTCCCCGATGTAAGACTGATCACAGCCCTCCT